TTCTTTAATAGTGTGATTTACTGCCTTTTCCCAGTTTTCAGGTTTTACATTATTTACGGCCTCCAAAAACAACTGTTTAACATCATGAATTTTAAAAGTGGTATTTTTTTTTGAAACTTCACTCTTTATCTGTGCCCATACCAGTTCAATCGGGTTTAATTCACAATGATATGGTGGGGATCTAAGTACTGTCATTCCACGATTTTTGGCAATTTCATCAATTTCGTATTTTTAAATTTTTCTTTATGAAGGGCACACAACGAATAAAGTTCCTTTCTTATAGATCCGGGATGGTACGTAATATTTTTTGAACTCAGCCAATTCTGCAAGTCTTTTTTTAACCACTTGGTTGTGGGCAGTCCTTCTATAAGTCTGGAGTGATAACTTGCATTATCCATTACTATTACACAGTTCTTAGGAAGAAGATCTATCATTTGTTCGAACCATTCTTGAAAAACATCAGCGTTCATGTCTTCATGGTAGTCACCGGTACAAGTTGATTCAAAAGTTAATAAACCACCTTCAACAAAACCGTCTGAACTGCCAATGTGTACTATTATCAGCCTGCGTCCCTTTCCTGATGGTGGGTTTAAACCAGTAGATAAGTTATTTACAAAAGCGTGCCTTTGACTTGTAACAGTTTCATCCTGCCAAAATTTATTTGGTGTATGACCCTCGTTGATCCATGTTTCATCAAGATAAAATATTTTTCTTTATTGGTTTCTCATTTCCTTTATGGTTCTTAGAAAATGAAGACATTTTCTAAGAAATGACTTTCTGGGATTTTTTTTTTCCAGCGGAAGCCTATTTCTTTTAAAAGTTTCCATAACGTACTTCGACTCATTTCTGGGTAATCCTTATCATCTCGAACTGAGACAAGAACTTTATCCAATGTTGGAAATTCTTGTCTAAAGAAGAATTCATGCACTTTCCGTCGAAGTCCTTCTTTAAAATGATATTCTATTTGAAATTTTGGTTTCCCTGGAGCATTACGTGGCATTTGAAAACTACCACATTTCTCTTCTTTAATAACTCTGTAAATCGTAGATTTCCCAACACCAAGTGTACTGCTAACTAACTCAACGGTCTCATCAACACTTTCACATAAACGTTTGTCTGTAAATGATTTAAAACAATTAAATATTAATGTTTTTTCATTAACTGTTAAAGGACCAATTTTTCGGCGTTTACACGGCACTTCCAAATTTTCCATAACACTAGTATACACAATAAACTGCACCTTGCAACTGAAGTACCTACTTTTAGTGAACTGTTAAGAATTTTGAATACGCCACTTGGACCTTCCTACAAAATGGAAAATCCCACTATCACATTTTCTGTGGAATAAGTTTAGAAGGTAATTATCTAGTCAATTACTGTCGTAGATTCCTGGAATTAAAGAATTAAATGTTTGATTGTTGAAACCCTTACTTCGTGGAATGCACTCATTTCAGATAAAATAAAACGTTTTATTTTATCTAAAGAATTAAACTTTATTTTGCAAATAGGTAGGTACTTATTAAACTTTTATTGGTTATATATAACCAATAAAATAAACATCTTACATTTCTTGCAAATTCATTAGTACCTGTTAACCTCCATCACTCCGACACTGGCAGCCTTATTTAGGGATTAGTAACCCTCACAACTATTGTATTCTATTCTGCTCCAACCTTTATACCTGGTGGTCATACTCAATTTAAAATTGTTTTCCTATATTCTTCTGTAAACTTGTTGACAAATATCTGTTTTTCATTGAGTCACCCGTATTAACAGTTTAGGGATTTGCATACATAATTTATTGTTTTATTACTCTCTCATACATAGAAATACACGATAACATCTACCACCAATTGAAAATACATCCATGATACTATGAAATACAATCCGCATATCCAAAATCTAAATACCTATATCTTGATGAATCAAAAACCTAATCGCGGTTAGAAGAAGCTTACATAAATGGACCTGACAAATTTAAAATATGCCTCCCTCAGAGCTCTAGAATATATTCAGTAGAACTTTTGTATTAAAAGTATAAAAGTAAGTCTGGACTTCATTACATCACTACATCTGACTAAGACACTAGCGACGATGCAGCAATTATATCTCTCAAATGAGATTATGCTGATAACAAAAGAATCCATGCTACTACATAAGACCTCCACCAAGAAATATATTTTCAGTTTATTTCAGACTAACTAGAATACAACATCCGATAAGACAAAATATGTTATAGAAAACTGTTGGCATGAAACAACGAGCTGAATAAAAAAGAAGAAAACTGACTGGTTAAATGAGAAGTTACAGAATATTTAAAAGGACAGAAAAAATTATAAAATAAAACAATTCTATAAAAAAGTCAAGTAAAACAATAATCCTAACGTCAAAACAAAAGAACTACAAAACCAAAAAGGAGAGACTTTAGTTAAGAATAAACAGGTCGCAGAATATGAAAAGAATATTATGAAAAATGTTATACACGAGAGAGGAAACATACGGTGACGAAAAAGAATGATTTAAAGCATAGTGAAGATACAAGAAGTCCCGTAGTAGACATAGATTGACAATGGGAGAAAATAAATTAGCAGTGACGTTAATAAAATATTTATAAACACAATTGCACAAAGAAATAAACACTCTAGTGAAATAAATATGGACACAAAATATATTGTCAGACAAAAATTAAGTAAATGAAATATTATAGTGCCACTGGTTTTTAAAAAAGAGATCAAGAGGAGTTCTAAAAATTCTTTTGATCTCCTTTAAATTATATTTAAATATTTGAAAATTATAGAATAATACCCCCTTAAATCCTATTAAGCTTGGGACTTAAATCATATGCTGAACGAATATTAGGGGAATACCAGAATGGGTTCAGACCGAAGGGACCGAGAATTACATCCATACGTATAGTAAATAGCAAGAAAACACAACCCAGAAATGCATGTAAAGTGGGGCATTCACGTTCTGATTTGAACTCCCACTTATTAGGAGTACTAGTTGAATAGTCGGCTCCACTTAGCTTCGACTTGCTATCAAACTGACACTCCACCTTCAGTCCTAGTCTGTTTTCATAGTGGAGTTCATCTCTCAGCCAAACAAAGGTATCTAGTAAAGTTTACATAAAATATAATTAGGAAGAAAGTGACAGCAGTTGCAAGGAAGGGAAAATGTTGGATAAAGAAATTATTCGTTGATCGTGTGAACTATTGTGAAACGAAGTTTATCAATGTCATTGATAAGGATGATTACAGAAACTACCGCAGAACGCTATATTGAATGTTTTTGTACTTCAAAGCACTACTAGTATCCCACAAACATAGACAATTTGTGTAAATAGTAATAAATTCAGAAATTCCTTTACTATTAATTACAAAAGTGTGTACTAGGCACTCAAGGTCAAGCGCTGACTGTGGAAAGTTTTGACCCTAGAAATAGAAAATAGTCACCATAACAGTAAAAATACACAATAAATTATAAATAAGAAAGAAGAATAATCCAACTATCTCACAAAACTATTTTCAAAACAGGCTGGTCGTAGCCATGGAGGGATTCGAAATAGAAACAGCTTTAAAAAAGCTAAAAAAATAATAAGGCTCTAGAACACGAAAAAATAAGCAAGACAATAACAATCGTAATACTAACAGAGCTCTTTAGCAGATGTCTACATAGTAGCAAAATAGAGTAGGTAAATACGAATATCAACTATTCGTATTTCTTGCCTTCGTAAGCCAAAAAAAAACATTTGACAGTATTGAGATGGCAATAGAATATTAATAATTGTAGAATAGATTCGAGATATAGGCAAATGGTGCATAATATATATGAAAACGCAACTCTGATAGTACAAATAGACGAAAATACAAACCACATTCCCATTAAGAGAGGAGTTCACAGGGTGACGTAATATAGGTAAAGCTGTTTAATCTAGCTCCAGAAGACGTTTTCAGAACTACAAATTGGTCTACATGCGACATCAAAGTTATTGGTTAAACCTCCACCTCAGATTCGCTGACGACATTGTAATTATAGCGAGCACATTCAAGGAATAACAAAGACGATCCCGGACGTATCACTACAACTGATCATGAGGTAGAACAAGTTCAAGAATATATCTACCTAGGCCAAATTCTAAAACTTTACAAAGAGAACCAAAGTGCAGAAATTACTAGAAAAGCAGGACTAGCACGATCAGTACTTTTAGTTGGATACTTAAGAACCGAAAACTAACGCACTCTTCCTATAATGATATATGGATGTTAAACCTGGGCTCTAAATAAGGCGAATTTTAACGAATTATGGACAAACTAGCCACAACAGAAAAGGCAATGCTAGGTATACCGAAATGGAACAAATTGTAAGTAGATATTATATTGCTCAAGATAGGGATCGATGAAATAAGTTGTGAGAGGCACATGTCCAAAAATGGACGATAGATGGCTAATAAGAAGAAAAAGTTTGTGTAAATTGTGTAGTGTCCACGCTATCAACTCGCAATAGTTGATGCGGGGTTATTTTTGTTTGAATAAAAAAACATTGTTATGCTAATAAAATTATCAAATATTCAGTACCCACAAAAAACAATATTTTGTATTATGTAGTACTTTCTATGGAATCATAATTCTTTGTGAATACGGGTACTTAATTATTACCATTTATTTTTATACTTAATAAAGTACTTAATAAACAGTTAAGTGGCTTTCCCTTATATTTATATTTTAATTCAAATGCTATTCACTAATGGATCATACTTAAAATAGCTTATTTTATTAGTACATTTAACCTGGTATCAAAAGTTTGGTGTGGTTCAAATACTTTTAAATTCTACGTGATATAAACACACAATATTTTGACAATATTTGTCAAAACATCTTTGTATATGAAGACATGTTGTAAGTACCGTATCTAACAAATCTTTATTTATTAATTTTAAATAGCCAAGTTCAGAGTCTAATTAACAAACCAAAATATTTTAGAATAATACGATATTTATCCCTGATACATTAAATTACTGTGATCCAGTTTTCATTAGACAACACATCATACGCTTTCGTTCATTAGGTACGTTTATTCTGTTCTAATTATACTACACGTATATCTTTATAGTTAAGTGTTTAGAAAAAATACATAAGAAATCTTTTTGCCCTGTAGACCAGTAACCGATATTTTTATTTTCACAGACCTCATAATGTCGAATTTATACGCTCAAGTTCATTTAAGAACAAAAAAGTTTTATTCATTTTTATTTTTATATTTTGTGTGGACAAATAATTGAAAAATGAAAACATACGTTTAATTAATATTTTATTGAAAATACCCAGATTAATGCTTGCTGTTAACTTATCAACAGAAAGAACCTAACGCACTAATTAAGTTCAATTCGTGGCTTCAATACAGTGAAATGGAGTCTTAAATCTCTTGTTTAAACTTATACATAAAAAGAACCAGAGGTGTATACTGCCCTATTAAGAAAAAACTCCTATCTCCACTATCGCGAGTTTTGAGAAAAACGCGATTAAAAATTTTTGTTTAATCCCTTGTGCTTTTGGTACAATAATAACACAAAATCATTTAGGGTAGAGCGTGTAGCATCGTAGTTAACTTTTTTCAAAAAAAATTACAGAATTACCATATGGACATTAGTTATGCGACAAAGCACAGAATTATGTCAAGTTTACTTAGGTAAATTATCCAATTTTGTCTTAAGCTTGGTTTTAACTATGTAATTATTATAAAATTTATATAACTGCCTCGAAAGGCAAAATATTTAAATATTTTAATAATATTTTGTATGAACATTGTTGAATAAAAAAGTATTTACGAAATTCTTCCCAAAATTGATGGCGGTTCGCCGGTATAATTTGACCTAACTTTTTTAATATTTGTTCTTTTCTCTTCCTAGCAATCCCAGAAAGTTTCGTCACAGGTGTGGGGTCATTTATCCCAAATTTTAACACTCTGGCCTGTAAAAAGTCCATCTCTATCAACTCCTCGCTATCGTCAATTTTAACGTGTAAAATCTTGCCCTCTTTCTTCACAATTACTTTAATAACTTGTGACAGGTAAATACTAACTCTATTTTCTTTAATTTTGACTGTGATGATAAGTCTTTCTAGATAAGAAAATCGGAAATCCCCATTTCTTGCTCCACCACAAGATTCAAATTACACGTTTTAACGGCCTCGACGAAATCATGATAATCATAAACTTTCTTCTTTTTCTTTAACGATAGTTCCACTTTGTGGTGGAAACTATCGGCGGATATAAATGTATGGCCCGGTTCAAAATAATTTATCTATAGTTATATCCTGAGCTACAAACTTATTGGAATATATTATATATATATATTAAAAAAGAAAAAAATGCCCAATATTTGTTCTGCGAGGAACAATTATCGACCCAGAATACAAAATGCTCTGCATCTCGATAGTGCAACCGAAATGAATAAAAACTACTAGAGAGTTTTTAAGCCCCTTATTTCAGTAACGTTAAACGTTATACGTTATTCTGCTCATGCGCATTAACGGAAAAAAACGGATTACTTTATTAGCGGATAAGGTATTCCCTTATTTAGGTAAAGATAAGGTTAACGTTATTAAGGATGACGTGTTTGTAATGTTGTCAAATGTCAGATATCTAAATCATAAAAAACAAAAAAAAGTCATATGAACATCTCCCTTTCCTTGTCTAAGAGCAGAACCAAAGATAACTATAAAAATATAGAAAATTTAGTTCAGCATCTTTCTCTTCAATTGTTTCCAACACAAAATGTAGTCTCGGTGCAACAGGTATTACAGGATCAAAAATATTGTGAAGAATTAAGCCTCTTATCAAGTTATAATCTATTACTTCTTCTTCGTCCTCGTCGTCTATTTTCTTAGATTATAGCAAATTATTCAAATAAAATAGGTTATAGAGTATATCGTGGTATAACTGACGTTTTATAGGTTACGCTCGTCAAATGTCAATTAACGTTAATCTGTCATAGCTTAATTTCTGAAAGGCTCAAAAACTATTTTAAGTATAAACGTTATCTCTTATTTATTATTCAAGGCGCATGACCAGTATAACAATTTACGTTTAACGTCCATCGAAAAGTAAAGGGCCTAAAACTCGCTACTAATAATGCCATACTTCATGCCATATTGCTACAGAGGGCTTATTTTTCCCAATGTTCCCAATGGTGCAAAACTTTCGGTATACATCACTATTCTTTGGGTAAATAAAACCTTTTTGAACATATCAATGCGAGGAAGCATTATTACTTTTCCGAGAATCTGCTGAAACTCTTACCGTACTTGATTCAGGAACTGCTTTACAATCTTGTCTATATAATTCTCTAGACCGGTTTGCTCTTTTAATGTGTATTTCCCATTTCTGGCATAATTCACAATTGTTGTCTAAAGTTGTATCAATTTTATGTGAGTTGTCGTGAAATTAAAATCCTTCACAAAGCTCACATTCCTCGTGCCCAAATTTTGTATATGAGATGTTTTTACTTTTCATTACCTTTCTATGAACTTCGTATGAACATTTCATATCATAATGAGTTTCTAGAAAGTTTTTGTACATTGCATTAATGCTTAGATCACTTGGCAAGTAGCGGCGATTTGGAGTATGTTGTCTTATGTAATGTGAAATTACTGGGTTAAAATAACTCTATGTGTTCTTCTATAACTTTTTCAGAAGTTTTAAACGTAGATGCATACCTACCACGTTTATCAGGAAGAGGAACGATTTCTCGTTTTTTAAAACATCTTTTTGTACAAAACTTTGGATCGCCCTATCATTGTTTTTTATATACCCAAGAGTAGTTAGAAAAAATATCTTGCACACATTTTGTGTTTGACCATCTGAATTCTTCAAAAAGTACTTAAAGATGTTTTGTTTTGTTGAATATGCTGATCTTCTTCTTTTTACCGGAGCCCTGTTGATACAATTAAGAACGTATGTTTTCTTCCCCATCCAATTTAGATCCCAATATTTAGGTTACCTCTAATATAATAAAAATGTATTATAAAAATGTAAACTTACCAAACGAATTATTTTCCGCCTTTTGCCGTTAATAACAACACTAATAACCACACAACATCTTAACAAGTCGAAATACGCGGCGCTATTAGCGGCGTTGTTCTATTCCTTAGAAAAAACCTCTCATATCGTTTTATCCTACGTTCAAAACCCGTATCTGCCTGAGTATATACTAGGTTTTTACTACGAAGCGTTAAATGCCAGGTTTTATACTAAGCATAATAGTCATTTTTGGCGTTTACGGGTTTTTCTTTCATAAAATATGTAGAAATGTAAAAATACGGGTTTTTTCTCTATGTGAATATGTTATATAAATTAGGATTATTGAAAATGTCCAATACTAAAAAATTTATTTTTTCTTCAAACGTCAAATAATGATGACATTACTTATCTAACTTGATCCTGTCAAAGTTTGATATCTCCGCCGGCAGCAGTTTTTTTTGCCATTTCTTTACGGCGCGGCGGAGGGAAAAATGTTGTCATGGCAACAATATGAAACATGTCACAAAGCAACAATACAAATGTCATTAACAACAATTAAACATCATTTTTATTTATAGTAATATTAAAAGTACAAATAGTTAATGAGGCATTTTCAAAATTGAAACAGTGCAAAAATGTTCCCGACTCTTGATACGCATTGGTAATTGTTGATGATACTGATGGTCGAGAATAACTTTCATCAATCATTCCCGATGTTGGCGGCTTGCGAACAACAATAAGCTGTCTTTAATAATTGCAAACAACTGTCAAACAACTGTAACCAGGGAGACGCAAATCCCACCGACGACTTAATTATTTTAATTTCTAACATCTAGACAACTTTGATAGTTGTCAAAGTTAATTACGAGTAAAAATAGCGTATGAATTTTACTATTTATGGTTGAAAATTGCTACGTTTGAAGAAAAAATAGTATACTTTATTCGGCAAAGAAGCGACTTTTCTTGACTTGCCCTCTATTACGCGCCTCACTTCGTTCGGCGCGTAACATCGGGCGCGTCAAGAAAAGTCATGCTTCTCCGCCTCATAAAGTAATATACTATTATTATGTCTGAAAAAAATATCAATTTTTTAAGATTTGTCGCAATACATTCGCAGTCTTGAACATTTAGACAGCCTGTTAGAATACTAAGGCCAAAAAATGATTTTATTTCTTGCGGGTTGCATGGTACAAGTTTCTCAATTCCAGTTTGCAAAGCATATACATGTATATACATAATACATATTCGTGTATTGAAAGAAACTATATTAACGTCGTAGTTATAACTGGAATTTGAGATTTTTTCTTTACATCATAATTCTCTGTTTACAAATAAACAAAGAATCGGAAATATTTTATATTTGGCTCAGGGGCATAATAGAAAAATTTTTATTCTTGAATATTAGATAGTTTAAGGAATTTTCTGCATGCTACAACAGTGTGGTAGCTTTCTATATTTTTGAATTCATTGCTGTGATAAATTATTTTCTGCATCCCTGGCAATCTCTCTTCTTTTGATCTTGTTCTTATTATCTTAACATTATTCAGTATTTATGGTTTTTTTTTCATAACTTCAAATCTTTATCTGTGTTGTTGTTAAAGAATATATAGTTCGTAATATTGTTTTTACACCGCTCCGATAACTTCTGAGTTTGTTATTGTATTGCCACTATTATCTTTGATGATCTGTATCTGCAGTTTGAATTCTCTCGTTAGATATTTTACTTTTAACGAAAGTTCTCTAGATTCTTGGAAATTAGAATGTTCTTCTAGTTTTGCACATATGTTTTTAATATAATTATTTTTGTACCTATTTCTATTTATTTTTGTATTGAGTATGATGTGTCGCTTATTTTAATCTTTCTTCTATAATATTAAGAATCCCTTTAGTCAACCATTGTTTTTTCGTATTTTTTTTGGGGGTGTGTGTTGTTGATTTCTTTCAGTGATCCACTTCTTTGTGTATTCCCCCGCATTTTATCAGGGTCTTCGGTAGTAACTGGTAGGTCAGCTTTTACTAATGCTTCTATAAACTTTTCTGGCGTTTTG